AGAAATAAAGTAGCCTAAGCCCCAGCCTACCTAAAGTCAGCTCAAGGTGACTAGAGTATTTCGTCTCTTATGCTCTCGGCGTCCAGGTATTCCGACACCCTGACCCTGACGCCTGCGTAGGTATCAATCAATTATAATACTCTCATTAAGATGCGACAACAAGCGAAGCAAATATAAAAGAGTGGACCCCGAGTAGATGAAGCCATCACCAAGTTCCAAAGTCTAAATTCACCCAGCTTTCAAAACCCGTTACAGAAATGGTTTACTCAGCTAACTTCCATACATAGCACTGCCATCGCGGATACAGAAGGTCAAGACAGCCACCGACCGCCATTTAACTACCAACACAAGAATTTCAAGTGCCACCGTTATGGGTTAACTACCAGGACTCGAGTCATTCATAAGTGTGTTGTTGGTTTAAGAGCACGAATGATAATGAACCTTTCTTGGCAACACTGCCGATACATCCAGCCCGCTGTTACTCCGTTATTTTCCGCGGCTCAGACTTGACACACATGAACTCCAGTGCCGTAGCCAAGTACTAAGGTAGGTGCTAGTACAGTAGGTACAGAACACAGGAGAAGCAGAAGGCCCAGTCATCGCCCGATTTGAATGGGCTGGTAGGGGGGTATGGAGGGATCGAAAGCGTGGGGTTGGCATGTCTGTCCTATGTATTCCAGTGACATTCGATATGTCAGGGATCTAGTTCTAGAATCCGGTAGGTTGGCTATTGGGAGTCGAAGCCGGTACAAGTTGGATCCCTACAGTGGCAGTGGCAGATTGTACCTACATGACGCAAATGTGTTTCTGCAGTACTCGTCTCGGAGCAGGGTGAGGTTGATTGATACAATCAATACCTACCTACATATGCTTGCATTCATTCATTCATCCATCCATCCATTGTATTCGTATTAAACAGTAGATAGGTACCTCTCACTCTCATGCATCCCAGATTACCACCACTTACATACAAGTTGTCGATCATGGAAAGGGTACATACAGTATCTCTGGCCAAGTTCTCTTTTAAGCTCCATGAACCATCCATCCCTTCCTTAGTATGAGGTTTGCGTCATACAGCAACCTTACTTAGACCCCGGCCTGAGTCTCCGTAGTACTATACATACTGTACAGTACTTATGCCCCTGTCTAGTCTATTCTAACAGTATAGCATGTACATAGTATTCGCACTACATATCGGATACCTAGGTTACTGACTGACTGTTGATGGTTAGGTATCTTGGGAGACCAAGGCTCCATGCATTCACAGATTGTCTTTAGTGTTTTGTTTGTCGACGCTGCATTTCCGTATGAGGACAAGTTACTACTACCTCAGTACCTAGGGAGGTTGGATTTAGAAAAGATCAATTGGAGGGATTGCCGTGGCTACCTAGGTACTATAGGTAATTTGTTCATACTCGCTTACGGCCCGTTTTCTACTTGTCATGCCTGTCGTTGGTCCTTCTTCGGCCGTCAACCGAAGCCCATATGACATCCATTGCATTGGATCCGATGGCTACGCCTTCTTCTCCTGTTAAGCCCAAGGCCAAACCCGATCGCTCACCGTTTCATAAGGCGTCCTCGTCTTATCCTGAATAGGCACTCATGCTACATGGACTATTTACTAGACAAGTCTAGCCCCAGAACTAGGCAAGGCACATCCATTACCATAACGTCAAGGCCCTTTATTTTCTAGTCTCTTCTTGTAACCATGCGCCATGAACCTGAGGTAACTTAACTTAACTCATCCCACACCATCACTTTTGTGCATCACCCACCTTCCGCCATTTTTTCGTCCCCTTTCCTTCCATCCGCCTCGCCTCGCCTTCCTCTGGCTTGGGCCTTTTTGGTTCTTTTTGCTTGGGTGCCCGACTCGTAAACAATCTTGTCTCACCGGCTGATTGTTCTAATCTATGCTGTTTCCGTTTCTTGAGACAACTGAGCTGGATCTTGGGCCTCACGTCAACCCCGTTATTAGCCGTCTCCGCATCATCGGGAGAAGCGAGACAGACTTGCTCTAGAACAACCCAATTGACCGCGCGATAAGAGCATAACGAACCAAGGACGACACCTTTGTATCTCACTCGTATCATCGGACCATCCCCTCCTGTCTTATCACCGACCACGAATTTCTTAGTAGATTCGGGTTGTGATGGGCTGCGCTTAGTTCCCGACCGATTAATCAACTCATACCGACTTCGCTTCGCATCTCGTTGACATTACTATCTTTCACATCGCACTCTTGAAAAAACATGGCCGCCACTGTTGCGCCTTCACATGCTGCCGGCTTGCCGTCGTCATCGGGCATGCCTACGCCGTCGCATTCCGCAAACTCTCACTCCCACTCTCAAGATGTCTCAGGCGTATCGACATCCCCCGCGCCAAGTCCGTTACCACAGACCCGCAAGTTCAATCTTCGAGATTTCAGACGAGTGCGAACACTAGGGACAGGTAAGTTCATTTTCTATTGAATAGAAGTCGTCTCTGACCTCATCCTAAGGAACATTTGCAAGAGTCTGCCTCGTCCGTCCCGCTGCGACCGCACACATCCCCCTCGATCACCAACTCAACCCCGAAGTCTACGCTCTCAAGATCCTCCGGAAACCAGAAGTCATCCGTCTTAAACAGGTCGATCATGTCCGCCACGAACGCGCTATCCTCGCCGATGTCGCAGGCCACCCCTTCATCACAAATCTGATTGCCTCCTTTTCCGATCAAGATTCACTCTATATGCTACTCGACTACGTCCCTGGCGGAGAGCTGTTCACCTATCTTAGAAAGTTGCGTCGCTTCGAAGAACCCGTCGCTCGATTTTATGCTGCTGAGATTGTTCTGGTCCTCGAATACTTGCACGAGCAGCAAGGCGGCATTGCCTACCGAGACCTCAAGCCCGAGAACCTGCTCCTGGATCAGGATGGTCACATCAAACTAGTCGACTTTGGTTTTGCTAAGCGACTTGGCTACCGCGAAGATAACCGCCCAGTTGAGACATATACTTTGTGCGGAACGCCCGAGTATCTCGCCCCAGAAGTGATTCAGAACAAGGGTCATACCGGTGCAGTCGATTGGTGGGCACTGGGTATATTGATATACGAGTTCTTGACGGGTTACCCGCCATTTTGGCATCAGAATCCCATCGAGATCTACAAGCAGTTAGTTCTGTCATCACAAACCGTGCTATGTCATTTGACTGATTATTTATCGACAGAATACTTGAAAAGCCAGTCGTCTTCCCCCAAGACCCTCCACTGTCAGAAGAAGCCAAAGACATGATACGTTCTCTTTGCACCGTTGATCGTTCCCGACGCCTCGGTAATATCAGTGGTGGCGCATCCCGTGTCAAGTCCCACCCCTTCTTTCAAGACACAGACTGGGACGACGTCTTCAATCGCCGACATAAGGGTCCCATTCAGCCCCCAATACGATATCCGGGTGATGCGCAATGTTTCGACGTATATCCTGAGGATGACGGGTCTCGCGAACCATACGGCCGGGAGATGGCCGAGAAGTACGACCCATATTTTGCTGATTTCTGATGGCAAAACTAGTACGACTAGAACAGGATAAAAGTCCACCTCTGTCACTCCGAGTGGCACCATATGAGCGTCTACAAGCAGATGGTGCTCTCTGAACGAGCAATATGCAGTTACGAACCACGAACCAATAGCGAATCAAGCCTAGCTTTCTATCAGCATTGCACAAAGCCTTCATTTGTAAAGCCCTTATGATAAATTGATCGGAGAATGGCGTTTAATCACGGATTACGGTTTTTGGTACCAGGAGCCATCGATCGCTCACTGTTGTCTCACTGTTGTTTGAAATCTTTTGGTTTTCATATATTCTTACATAGGGTCGAGTGATGAATTAGCTCATGAACCAGCGTCACATAAATATTCATGCGAACAGCATTCAGTAGCCAATTGAAAATGTGTCACTTCCTCCTATACCATTATGAAACAATGCTTATGTTAAAAGCTATGCTACAACACTTATAATGCGACTCATCTTTAGACCACCATTGTCCAACATCAAGCTCGATTAGCGCAGCGTGAGTATCAATATTTGGAAAATGTTCTGACGTGTACAGCGTCTGTCGACTACAAGCTCATTGTATAAGATGCGAAAGAAGCGGAATTTAAGTCATGCTGACATTCACATCAGAAGTGTAATACATAACCAATCATCGGCTTCATATCTCGCGAGGTGCGTTTAACTATTGCGACTTCTCCCTTCGACTACCTGTTGCGGCTAATTAGAACTAGCAAAAGCGATATAGCCAATATAAGCCGACACTAAAAGCGAGCAATGTGGCCAGGATGCAAGCGCCCTGCTTTGTGCTCCAGAGATACATGCTCCAGCCAGCCATGACCTCTTTACGGCGTGCAGCTGCGCGGCGTTCCCAGGCCTCTGGGTCGATCTCTACGGGGAGTCGGGCCCGAGGGTCTTTGGTTGCATCGGGGTCCAGATTCGATGGCGGGGCCATCTCGCTAGGGGCAATGAGGGGTACATCAGCGCGGAAGAAGACAGGACGATGGTCGCTCATGCGTAAAACAGGAAGACAATCATAAGCACGAACGTTGAGCTTAACGTCGTGGCCGTCTCCTTTCTTCAACCACGATGGCACATCGAGAAACAGTACACGGTCTGTCCATCCCGGATAGCGATGGGCCGCAAACTTCCACGGTACATCAAGCTCGGGCTCCTGAATGCCAGGCTTCTGAGCTAGCACGTTGTATTTGTACGTTGGCGGAAATCGCACCTCGTGCTCTGATAAACCGTGCAACGTCCTACCGGCGTTACGCTCCCGTGTCAGCTGGTCGAGGCGGAAGAAGTCTGGGTAGTAGTTCTCGGAATCCGGATCAAGGCTTGGGAATGCAGCAGAAGGGGGTGGAGACGTAGTAGAAATGCGATAGTTCAGATCGCCAGCGACAAAGAGATGTGACGTAGGCTTAAAGACGGAGATATTGTGCAGTCGCTTCTGAAGACTTGAGTGTTGCTTGTTGTGCTCATCATCTAGAAGACGCGTACGCTCGGGCTGGTCCTCAGCAGATGGTGTTGAGGCTGGGGATGGGGTAACAGAGGTCTTGTAACTATTCACAACCACTTCTGGGTTCCCAAAGGCCATTCCACGCATGATAGCAGCCCAATTGGCATTCCGTCTCGGCAAATTCCACTCCATAGCCGCCAGATGCGTGGCAACAAAAGTCAGCTCAGTTGAGCCACCATCGTCTTTGTAAAGCATACGCAAGCCGACAGCTCCCTTGTTTCCCATCTCTGCCGCTCCAAACCCAACTTCTGCCTCTTGAATTTCATTTAATCGTGATGCATCGCGCGCGAAGAGCATGATGGCGGTGTAGCCGACGTTGTTGCCTCGCACAAGAGTGTATGGCTTTGCGGGACGTGCAGTCGGTGTGGTGGTGATACCATCACTTTCCCGGCTTGATATGTCATCGAGGACATGTTGGGCGGCGATGTTGATGGCTTGTTCGTATCGTGAAAGGTATGAACTTAAAAAGTAACCACCGATGAAAGAATGGGCCAAGGGTGCTACCTCTTGCAAAGAGCTACAAACAGAACATGAATCAGTACCATGCTCGCTACAAGATGACTTGATGCTTTATGCGTGTGTCTGCCGGCCGTCTGTCGTATCTTATGACTGTTCATGGCAGCATCGGTATTGGGATTGTTGCATCGTTGTGACCAAGAGGATTAGCGGCTTACAGAACAACGACCTGTGGTAAATCGGTGGCATTTTGTCGGAAAGCAGTTTGTAGGTGGGTGCTGAAGACGGGGATATCGAGCAGATTTTTTGCGCAATTAAACGTCAGGCATAGCAAGTCAACAGAAGGAGCAGCAGGAGGTGCCATCATTGTGGAGGTGGAAAGGTTGGAGGGCTCGAATTGTGACGTTGATGTTGTTGAAACTGTGGTTGCGGCTGTGGCTGTCGAGGTGGGTGTTGCAGTTGAAGTCGATGCCGTCATGACGACGGGAACGCTGAGCCAGAGTCTGAGTCTACCTAGTACCTAGGTAGGTAGGTACCCAGGAAGGTAAATGGTAAGCGTTAAGCGAGTGAGTACATCAAAAGTTGAAACCTGTCGGATTCCTGAACAACAAGAATACCTAGTATTAATAAAGGGCTCAGCCAGTCCCGCTTGCAAGCTAAAACGAGAATCTTAAAGGGGCACGAGGCTGGCGAAACCCAACCTTAACAACGCGACGTTGTACATACATACAATGGATGCATGCGCATGACAGTCAGTGCCTGGCTCAAATGGGATGGGATGGGTGGGATGGATCGAGGGGCGGGATCTGGCACGCAACCAAAAATTGTGGAGTTTGATGTTTGGTTTCGTCGATCATCATTGCTGTGTACCTCAAGGTTATCAGGTATCGAATCGACACCTACATACACCAGGACTGTGATAAACCGCGTCCTCGGAACGTTGGGTACTTTACCTCAGCCTTTCTTACACTTTTCCAGTCCAGATTTGAAGCCAAACCGGTATCTTCAGGAAGCACAAGTTCCCCAACGGTCATTAATTGCTAAGGGCATCACTGGACCAACATGCAGCATCACATCAAATAACTTAACAGCATATCTTTACATACATACATACATACATACATACATGCCTACCTAGGTAAGTAGATGTTTTAATGTCCCTGACCAAGCCTCTTTGACCCCGCAGCCCGCATAACATTCGCACCAAATGGGCTCGCGTGATCTCCAGTCTGCTTCATGTGACCTGCTTCTGTTACCATGGTCGTTCGCTATGCACCCGATGGGGTTGTGTCATTTTACAAGAATAACAAGGTAAAGCAAAGCCGCCTGCAAGCCACCTCCTCGAGCCCAGCGCCCACGCGACGGATGCGAAGTTACCTTTCAGGAGTACTACAAGTGGCGGGGCTGGCGACTATAAGCCAGGTTGCAATAAACGGGCGTCTTAAAGGAAGCAAATCAAGTTTGAGTAGCACGGCGCGACACATAGTCAGGGGAGGAAAAGCTGATTGCCAAATAAAAAACAGACGCAATTTGTGAACTATCTACTATGGTGCGACCAAGAAAGGAATGAATGGATGGTCGATGCGTGTGGGTGAAACGTCCAGGACTCTTAACCGCCAACCACGGGTTGTAGTACTTGCCAAGATATGTCGCAGAATACTGCTCTTTGGTTCGTGACCTTCAACCAGAGGATTGTGCAAGTCCCTAATTCCTAGTTGTTCACTTGTCCGATTCCGTCACCAGAAATGAAAGAGTGTAAGACCGGAGCTGACCTTGACCCGAGCCGGTAAACATCACTGCTCTCTCTGCCATTCCTCTAGAGACTTCTCCGCCATCACAAGTTGCACCTTCAGACCCCCGCTTCCGTCACCACCCAGGTATGAAGAACAATTCATTGAACAGCATAACCCCTTCACGACGTCCCCTGTCACCTCCCCAAAGGCCACCCTTTCGATGGGACCAAACTCAAAAGGCCAAAGCAAACGTCCAGACGAACTAATCGAAAGCAAAAGAAAATAATACATGAATGAAATGCCTGTTGGGCAGGATCAAAGCTTTACCGCATCGACGGAATTCAGAGTCGTAGCGTACTACCGACCCTCAGCTCAGGGGCGATTTTTGTATAATCAGTGGCAACAGCCGGCGTTTCGAGGCGCGAAGCTACTGTCGTGCAATGCAGCCGAGAACCCACAGGTCCGGTACACCTAGTCAGAAGGAGTACCGGACATGCCGTTCAGGAAAGTCTCCTGAAGGCAGTGAGATTACACATAGGAAAACCAATTTGGTCAATCCATTGTATAACACTCTTACCAACAAGAGCTCCCCGAGCCATGTATTAATGTCGTGAACCTCCCCAGAACATACGTCGAAGAACAAGATAGAGCAAATGTGTAGGAAATAGGCGTGATCGAACCGCGCCCCAACAATCGACAGCGATCAATGAGCAGAGTGATGGCCAGCAGGATCACCCAGCTTCTAAATAAACTTGCATCCGGATGCCGATGTTGGGTTTGTGTCGTCAGTATCGGTCGCCACTAGTAGGAATCCCAAAAAAGAGAGGAGTGATCGGTTTCGAAATCATTTCGGCCGATAGCTGCCCGAGGCATATCCCGCTCCCTTTGAAGCTGAGCGAAGCCTGTTTATCGTCCACTGAGTCAGCCATAGTTGTCAGCAAATCTCCCTTCATCCAGCGGTAAAACACACTACACGCATGAAGGAAAAGAAATTCCTTACAAAAGAACAAGAAAAATGGGCTTTACTTATGACTCACATCCTGTCGCTTCCACCAATGGCACGGTTGGTGTCGGGAGTGTCGACGCCAGCACCAGAGCCTCGCTCGAGCATCTTACGACGAGTGCTGGGAATAGCATTAGGCTTGGCAGCAGACTGACCGGCAGTTGCGGCGTTAGTGCGGCTAGCACGGGCCTTCTCATCGTCCTCAGGGTTAGCCTGGCCAGCAGCCTGAGCAATAGCCTGGGCGTTCTTCTGGTACTTGTAGACGGTCCAGTCAAAGACATAATCGTACTGGAAGCCCTCGCGCACAAAGAGGTCTCGGAAGATCTTGCGGAGATAGCTGTAGTCGGGCTTGTCGTCGAAGCGGAGGGATCGAGTATAGTTCAGGTAAATGGCAAACTCGTTGGGGAAACCACGGCAAAGGACCTCAGTAGGAGTAGTCATCTTCTTCTCCATAATACGATCGTACTTCTGCTTCTTGGTAGCAGCCTTTAGTCCTTGCCAGGGAAGAGAGCCTCGGCAGAAGTAAAGCATAACGTAGCCTAGAGACTCCATATCATCACGTCGAGACTGCTCCACACCCAGATGAGTGTTGATAGAAGCGTAACGAGCAGTACCGGTAAGGTTCTTGTTCTCTCTATAAGGGATATGAAAGTGAGTCTTGGGGTCGCGGTACTTCTTGGCTAGACCAAAATCGATAACGTTGACTTGGTTACCACGTTTGCCGATACCCATAAGGAAGTTATCAGGCTTGATATCTCGGTGAATGAAGGACTTGGCATGGATGTATTCGATACGCGAGATGAGCTGGTCGGCCAAGAGAAGGACAGTCTTCAAGGAGAACTTTCGGTTGCAGAAATTGAAAAGATCCTCCAGACTGGGACCGAGAAGGTCAAGGACCATGGCGTTATAGTCACACTCAGTACCAAACCAGCGAACGAATGGAATACCCACGCCGCCGGCCAGAGACTTGTAGACACGGGCCTCGTATTCCAGCTGAGGGTGCTTGGCCTTGACGGACTCGAGCTTGATAGCGATTTCCTCGCCGGAGATTATGTTGGTACCGAGGTAGATGTCACCGAAAGAGCCCGAACCGATCTTTCGACCGATACGGTACTTGTTACCAACGCGAAGATCCTGTTCGTCATGATTAGCAAATTGTACATGTTAATCCTTTGTCTGAACTCAAGCCTCGGCACAACAAAAACAAAACACCAACGTAGATTATCGTATAGACACAAGATGTGCCCTTGAATAATACGGCATCTCCGTTCATGTAATCCTTGTATGCTGAGACTTGACTCGAGAATCTTGGGTGAAGCGTACCATGGTCGTCATGATGAAAGTTGGTAATGTTCCGTTCCGTAGGAAAGGAAGCTAGAAACCTGTAAAAAGTTTGCGGTGATCTGCGAGCCAACGTTGGCTATGAGGCAAGTAAGTCAGCACTGGATCCAGACAAAAAGTGGATGGATAGAAGGATGAAAAGTGAAGAGAAATGGCGGCAATGAAGGAAGGTGAGAGGGGCAAAATTGGGTCGGGGTAGAATTTGGCTTAACAAGGGCGGTGGGCAACGCCACCAGGCAAATCCGACGTAACTCGACGTAAGAGTTGCCCGATAAGCCTCGAACTGACATAAAAAACCGCGTAGGTACGAGTCGGAGCGCCCGAGGACAACCCAAAGTCGGGGGAAGTAAAGAGAACGACAGAGAGAAAGAGAAAAACACATCGCGAAGGACCGAAATATGCACTGAGGCAAAATGTAACGAGCTGAGTTGGTACATACCTGCAAGGAGAACTCTGAAGGTTTGGAGGCGGTCAAAACGCGTGCAGAGTTGAGCTTTGGATAGCTACGATAGCGTTGGCTAAGAGGAATCGAAGATCGGCGGGAGAGTTAGAAAACTCGGTCAAGGTCCTCGAGAACGATGCAGTTCTGGTGATGGGACGTGGTTATTCGAGTCGAGGCTGAGGGAACGAGAAGAGGCTCAGCAAGTGTAGTAGACGTAGACTCGTGAGGTCGTCGTCGAGATGGCAGTGGGTGCAAGACAGTCAGATGTTAGGAGGAGGACGGGGGAAGAGTGTCGTGGGGTGGAAGAAGGGAATGTGAGAAAATGGCAGGCCGAGAGGAGAAAAGGGAATTGGAAGCCAAGGGGGCGGGTAGGAAGGAGCAAGTGAGTGAGAAAAGTGGAGAATGGGGAGAGCGATACCTGACCTGAGGTGATTGATTAAAAGGCCGGCCCAGCGTGTCCAGCTTTTGAGTAGGGGTATAATAATGGAAGGAGTTTGTTTAAAGGGCGGGCTGGCAAGGGGAGGGGGGAAAAAAGAAGAAGAAACCCCCTAAGAACAAGAAAAAGGCGTCCACGACGTGGGACCTAGCGCGCCCTTGGACCACTGTCTTAGCTGCTTTCCACCAGGATAGTACCACTTAGTGGTCCGTTTCCAGGGGACTGGGCGCCTACTGAATAAGCGCACAGCGCATCTACGCACCTCCATTATGAATCCAAATGGTTCCCGTCCATAGGTAGGCTGGATCCAGGATCCAGTATGGACTCTCCGGGCGGCCCCAACACACCCATCGTTCACTGGTTCACTCCCCGTGTCTAGGCTAGTGGCTATCAGAAAAGCTGTCCTGGTAGCTCGATGATGACGGAGCCTGGCAACCCAAAGGCTGTTTCTAGATGGAATAAAGCGATGGAATTATTCTGTCACTTGTGTCTACTTATTGGCGGTTAAGTTTTCTAACACGCTGATGCCAGGGAACCGAATTAGAATCTGAATGCGGCCCAAAGTGGGGGATGAGGCAACAATTGGCAGCATGGGCAAGACAGTGGAGGTGAGACGAATTTACAAACAAGGCCAAGAGCTTAGAGTATGTAAAAGCAGAATCGGGTGCATAATCGAGTGTTCCAGGCAATACCCAAGTACAGCTTCGAATAGGATGCCTGGGATGTTTCATGATGAATCAGTTAAGCTGTTTTCTCTGGTTTGTTGCTTGCACGATCTCGGTACTTGTCCTCTTTTGATCACTGACGGGACGTACTCACCAACGACCTAGGTAGCCTTGAATAGCTCTGAACAAAACATTAACCTCGGGTGTCGATCCGGCTGACTCTTGAATTTATTCTATTGTAACTGGTCGCCGGTTCTGTTTGAGTAGCTTTTTGTACAAATCATTCTGACACCCAATTCATGGATGGTTGCTGCAGGCCATGCCATGCCATGTCAAGGCCGCCCTTGTAATGACGATCGAGGGAAAATGGTCTGTCGATCATTCTGCGGCCCGACGTTATATGTCTTTTCATGTATCCGTATCTACCACCGCGACGGGAGTGCTGGCCACATACCGCTTCGACTTACGGACATTCCGAGGTTGAAAGACTTTCCCCCGGCTGTCAAGCCTAGGCAAATAAGCCTGCGCAGAACGGTAGGGGCATTGTGAGCTTGGTTGGGGTCTACCAATTGCTACTATGTACCAGATGGTTGAACACTTACCTACGTAAATATAGTACCTAAATATGGTATTGATGGGATTTGCGGCTACATTCCTCAGCGATTACTAGGCAGCAGGAACCTGCCCAATCTTGTTGTCTGCGTATTCCGGCCTGTTTGCTTATTCCAACAGGCCTCATTTGTCTGCCTCCAAAGCCTGATACCTAGGTAAAACGACGAATTGTTCAGCGCCGGCTCAGCCTCCCCGGTGTGGTGAGGGCTGCAAGCGAACAAGCGAGCAAGCGAGCTGTAACTGTTGCTGGGCGGTAAGATGGAAAGGGGATAACCCGGGCCTCGCCCAGGTTCTTAATCAAGTACGGTATTGCATGCAGTACTTGGGAATGGTGGTGAGTAAGCGGAGTGTCAACCTCGTCATTTCCTCATGAAATTCGTTTCTGTGCGTTGGTTCTCAATGCAACCACTAATCTATGGCATGTTTTCCACCATGGTACAGCATGAACCCTCTCGGGACAAAGCGATCGATCCAGGAAGTTCGATTCATTTGAAGAGCGAACGGCATCTCCGTCGAAGACCAAGAATTCTTCTAGCGGCTCAGCTAGTCACAGATGGGGTTGAACGTTAGCGTACCCGAGGACGAAGGACGAAGGACACCCAAATGGATGTCTAGAACATTAAGTATCTAAGTAGGTACCCGTAGAAAGAATCCGAATCTTTGAGGCACATCAGCTAACAAACAAATGCGTTTCCATCAAGTTATTCATAGCCGAACATGTGTATCCGTACGTATGGCTTTTACATTTTAGACTAACCAGATGTTCCATCTGCATGGATAGGGTGATTGATATATTGTACTGTAAAGGTACAACGCTGTGGTTTTGTCTCGTTCATGTCCTAGTATGTACGTCCCCTACATACAATCCGCCGCTAAATTTCGGAGCCGAGCTTTTCTCTCTCTCTCTTTCTTTCTTTTGATTACCCATGCCAGTTCCATACTGTACTAGTCTATTCACGTAGTAAGAGAAAAGAAGGAGAAATGGAGAAGAGGGGGGAAACTCACCGACTTGTTGGTTTTTGAATACCCCAGCACTCAATCAATGCTTCCTTTTTGTATGGATCCGGTGATTGTCTATACACGCATATCCATATCCATTGCTCAGCGGTCCGTCAACTTCCAAGGTTCCCTACATCGAGGGTGCCTGGGGGACGGGGTCAGGGGAGCTGATGATAGCGCCCAATGCTTGTTTAGCCTTCCTAGGTACAGAGTACAGGTAGGTAACCGAGCGGTCCGAAAAATAACCAGGATATAGCAGCCTATTGACAAAATAACTTAGACTTGCTTTGGTACCAAGCTTAGGTTAGACTATCCTAACTTTTATGATACCCTTAGCTAAGTCTCGCTTTTTCTTCGACCCTCCTGGTAACGTACGTAGTAAGTATGCAGTGACTTGTGCCAAAATTACAATGACTGCATCTAGAGTTCGGGCCCAATGACCAGTCATTGCTGTAAATGGCTCGGTTGATTGCAGCAGGACCAGTCTCAAAGGCCAATTAACGGTCAACGTTGTGTAACCTGTCTCATCTGGTCCCAACCGTTGTACAGTTGTACTCTACCTATTGAAGTTTGTACCGCTTTTTACGGCCATCCGTCATTCATCAGGTGACATGTAGACATACGTATATACGCCAGCGAACTGTCACATTGAGATGCCAGGATCCGCGATGGCTTGCAGCAATGGCTGACTGTCTGTGGGATGAAAATAGCTACAGTATCTAGCACACCTATGTAATGACGGGAGTTAACCAATAACGTACCCCTCTTCCTAGTAGGTAGGATGTCTGCTCAATACCTAGGTACCTTACCTACCTATTGTACCTACCAAGGTATGGATGGTCGGTAAGTATGCTGTACTCTTGTGACTGGCTTCGCATCTTTAGCATCTTCAGCTTTTGTTTTATTTACTTGTTGACGCACACGCTCGGTTCCATCCGATTGTGACTTGAAACCCTTCATGGACGTCGCCTAAGAACAAGAACTCGGGTCTCAGCGGCCTCTGTAAGATCATTCTAGCTAGCTCAACCCCGCCAGTGGCCGTATCAACTAGACTACTATCTTAGTTAGTGCCCAGCTGACTGGCTTCAAAGTTAGGTCAGCCAAAGCTGGACAAGTTTCAGGCACATAACTTTTACTAACCTTACCGCCATCTACGGCACCTTGCTTTAGGACGTCAATCATGAAGCGTCGCTCATGGTTAAAACCGCACGTTTGTAGAAGGAAAAATCGAGTTAATAATGTGTATCCTGGTATTGAGTCCAGCAGCGCCAACAAAGACCTCCATGGTAAATATCTAACCAGTTCCAGCTAGTAGCCATCATAGTGGGTTAATTAAGGGTCTTCAAGGTCTCGAACACAGGACTCTCTTCACCGTCATATGAAGTCGGAATCAATTTTTGACCACATACATCAAATGGCGGGTAACCATCAGAAACGGCCATCTGGAGACTGTATATAATTTTGAGTAGACCAAGTGAGTACGTCTTTGAAACCATAACGCTTCCCTGGTCTCATGATGTCAACTCCGCCATGATATCTACAGTATATTCAGGCTTGACATTTGCTTTATGAGGCTTCACCTAGGCCAACACCGTTTGACTGACCGCCAGAATCAAAGGCAGTGGTCTCATAACGAGACGTGGGAACCTAATCAGATCGAAAGTTGAGCCTGGCAGGCTAAAGACTAGCTGGCGACATGCTAATTCGTTCAACGTATTCATCGTCCTATGACATCAAAGCGTGCTGCGTACAGTATATCCAGTCAGTAGTAGCGTAGATAGTGCTTTTTATTTTACAAGATTTAGCAAAGAGTATATGGAAGACGCTCGACAGAACAAACTTGACAAAATGGCACCATGGTACTTTGAACTGCTATCGAGGGCTAAGAATCGCAAAGGTATAGGCCTAGCTTCCAGTAGTTCCTTGTGACTATATTATATCGCATCGTTTAGAAGCTGGATGAATCGGAGATGATGAAGTCAACTTGACACCTATTGGTGACCCGGTGCGCCTGGTCCCTGTTGTGGTGGTCCGGATTCCGGCGCGCCTCTAAACTGAGGTGCTAAGTGAGGTGCATGGAAATGGTGAGCATGGGGCGGGTAGGGCCCAGGGAATGACTGCATCGGCTGCCCTTGCTGCCCTTGCGGAACGTATGCGCCTGGTCGATACGGCCCTGACTGTCCTTGCAAATACGGTGCCAGTGTGCTTTCCAACACTTGCCCTGTCTTTCTCAACCACTTGTCCGCAGAGCTGCTGCCAAATATCTTTCCTCCGCCGCCAGTCAGCTTTCCAAGACCAGGCCGCGCTGGCAGAGCTGGGGGAGGCGAGAAGTAAGTCTGGGGTGGTGGTGGATAGTGAGATGAGTTGTACCCGGCCGGGCCAGCACCGAATCCAGACGCCGGTGTGAAGCCTTGCGAAGACGAAGGTCGTGGAGGAAGTGCTGGGGGCTGGAGGCTATGTGCTGGCTGGTCCGGTAAAGGAGGACTCATTGTCGGGACGTAGGTTAGTTGAGGAGGGTATTGAGGTTGAGGGGGGTGAGTGGTGACGGGAGAAAGCTGATATACAGTATGATTGCTTGATACTGAAGTTTGTGCTACAATTCCAGGCATCGTGTCTTGGGGCGCATATGGAGGGGGCGGCGATTGAGGGACTTGCGTTGGTGCCGGCATGTTACATGGTTCCGCACTTGGCTGTTGAACATGTGAATGATGAGCCGTGGTGCCTGTATGGGCGGCTTGTTGGTAAGGAGTAAGTGGATGAGGCAAAGAGGAATTGGCGCCGCCTGGTGTTGAACCTGCTGGAGCTGGCGCATATGTCGGTTGTGGAATATTGTAACTGGGTTGAGCTGGAGATAATTGGGATGAGACGTATGCCGGGTTGGAAGTTATCGGTGCCGTGACTTGTGAGGCAGTTGCAGGCGAGGTAACTGAAGTCGTAGACGACTGGTTCGGTACATAGTTATGAGTCTGAACTGGGGTGGCATATTGCGGCTGGGCGAATGGCAATCCAATGTTATTTGAGGTTGCCGGTGAAGGTGAGCCAGCGCCAGCAATGGATGTCTGCGCGTGGCCTGGAACAGCCACGTGAGTAGCATATTGTAGTTGATTGAAGGGAACACTAGGTGCAGGAGTTGCTGGTGAGGGCGCAACTGTTGAGGCTGGCTGGGCCGAAGGGGTTGTAGGAGAAGGAAGGTATGTAGATGCAGATGATGGAAGTTGCTGTACCGCAGCAGCATTGGGAATACCATAATACGGTTGCGGCTGTGGATCGAAATGGGGTTTAGGAGAAGTAGGAAGAATAGAGGCCGGCTGTGGCGGTATATCGGCCTCTGGAACTGGAGGTGGTATCGAATGGATGTGTTGAGACGGCGAGCCCGCGGGTTTCTGTTGGGGGACAACTGGAGGTGACGCTAGAGGAGCATCCTGAGGTGATGTAGTAGCAGGACGAGTATTGGATGATGGAATAGCAGCAGAAGGAGACTGGGGTGACTGTGGTCTGTAGGGCTGGTATGAACTTGGAGTTGTTGGAGATTGCGAACTGGTTCTGTCAGGTCTATTAAGAGGCTTGGGCAGCAAACTCGATATATCCTGCGACTCTGGAGGAGCATACGGCTTAAAGGACGGGGGAGACGCCGGTTTGGCAGGGCGATGGGCAAGTTTGAGTGGTGCAGGATAGAGGACAATGTCATCACTCTTGAGGTCTGGAGTTGAAGTTCCGAAAGGTGGACGTGTGCTCTGAGGGACCTCTGGTGGGTTTGTTCCGCTATCACCAGGATAGGGTTTGTACACAGGCTCTGACAGACGATCTTCGGTCTGTACTTCTTTGAATGTGCCTTCTGGTGCTTCTGGTCCAAAGTAGGCCCAAGGGTTGGCCATGGCGGATGGAGACGTCGTGGAAGAGCTCTTGCTTGGTTTGTCCTGGCTTTCTCTCAGAGATGTGGCATTGGTTATGCCAGGGCTTTGTAGAGGTGGCGACGATACATCAGAGTGGTTCTTGTCGGAAGTTTGACTTTGGGTCTGTTGCGCAAGCACTGGCTCGCCCGACATCTCGAATATAGGTGCTCCATCAGGTCCGTGATGGGATGGAGCATCGCTTGGACGCCCAGGCTGGCTGTCAAGCTCAGCAACGAATATGGGTGGCGGATGATGGTTACCACCATAATAAGGAGTTTGTGTCATGATTTCAGCGATAAACAGCCCCTTGGATTTGCGATGAGCTGTAGTGGTTGACCTATGTCGTAGTTGAGAAGGGGGAGAAGAATTCTTGACATCAAATTCGCTGCGGCTGAGAAAGTGGCAGGAGTGAAAGAATGGAGGTAGGTACTAGGTACCTTAGTTGATCAACCACAAGGCCTCGCAGGCTGCCTTGACTGGGCTGTGTGCCTTGCAACCGCCAGTATTCCAATGAATAAATTGAGCTACCAGCAGGCTTTCCTTAAAAGGAGATAGACCAGGGTCTCAAATGACCCCTGCACTAAAAATACCTGGCTGCATTCCAATGACATTCGTGTCTGCTACACAGGTAATAGACTACAGAGTACAGACAGCACTTCTGCCCAGCTTCCAGCTTCCAGCTGAACAGGTGAGCACTTGTGTGGCTGAAATTCAGCCACTCACAACGGCGCCAGGGGTAGCTTGTCACGATCGGATTGACAAAGCTTGAAAAAGCTTCTATTGAAGCTTGTTGTTGTTGATTATGGCGTACATTAGAGATGCATTTGCTACCTACCTACCTATCAAATCGGGAGCATGTGAGGCGTTGGGCATGATTAGGTATTGAATATTGAAAACAAATTTAGTTCATAGGTCGGTAGACTTGATTTATACGCACAAATGCAATACACAATATGGTCCTTTGGTCTTGTTGCCAAGGTTTGGGCATTAGACTAAGATGTTGGTCCAAGCAATATTGCAGAGCCTGACTGTTGAAAATTCGTTCAGAAACCCCGTTATCATTCACACATTACTTTGATCACAAAACGCGGATCATATAAGCGCAATACCAGTAATTTCTATCAACAATAAGTACATTGTATCGTCGCAACTTGAAGAAATCGCCACTCCGTGGCATTCAACAGGTACCCAAAAAGAAAATTAGAAAGAAACAGACCGTTTCCCGTTACACTCTTTACGTTCCCATATGTGATTATTCCATTTGAAGAAATCAGCTATCACTGAAGGGCTGCCTCTATAGATCGCCGTTAAGACGTCACTATCCACAGGCAGTCTTATGTACGTCCGGAACTCCGGTGACGATCAGAACTCTTCCATGCCAACATTAATATACAGCGCCCCTGATGCCCTGGAGGTCGTAAGCCGTGACACACCAAGAACTAGCAGCCTGCGAGGAGATGACCGACGTAAACTGAAAAACAAATTTGGATGAGCAAATGACGTTGTTGCATGCGAGGCAGAAAGGACTAATAAAATAAGAGAGGATGTCGCCATAGGATCCTGTCGCAGAATGGTATCGTTGAATATCAAAACAATGAGAACCAATCTCTAGTGTTGATGGTGCAGATAGTGCAGTTGAACGAAATCAAGATAAATAATGTTTCGGTTTCTTTTGTCGGACATACGAGTTCAACAGAGATCTGGTCGAATCTACTCGTCATCCTTCTTCTCTCCACGTCGCATGCGCTCATTCCAGCGTCTCTTGCCGACGCGAGTCTCGTAGTGAGGAGCAACAGTCTTGACGTCTTGCATAACACTCTCAATAGCAGCTCGCGTTTTGTTGCGATAGCAATCCACTAAGCACTGTCAGTTTCGAAGTTATCAGGAAGGGTGACACAGTCAGCAACTCACATGCTCGCTGCAGGAACACAGTTCGACCTGCAAAGACTCGGCTTTGGAGCCAGGCCATACGATAGCCCAGATCGTTGAGGCGTACCTCCTTGCCACGGGTCGTTTTCCTCATTCGGGGAATTGCAATTTCGCCTGTGGACTCGCCCATGGGAACCTTGACCATCTCCTTGCCAGATCTGTTGGTGCCACGGCGGCTGGACTCACGACCCTCGGTTTCCTCGATACCATCATCGTCTTGGTCATCGCCAAAGAAGCGTGATCCAGTCGCGCTAGGAGGAGGACTTTGCATTTCCCGTGGGAAATAGCTGCGAGGAAAGACACTGGCACCCTTGCGGAAGCTATCAGGGATCTCATTGGTATCGACTCCCTCGAGGGTTACCCTCACCCGGAGGCGAGATCCACGTACATTATCCTCTACAAGGATAAACTTTCGCTTCTTGGCCTCTGGAATATCAGGGAAAAGATCGTCCGGCTCATCAGCATTAGCTCGGCTGTGGCGCTTAGCTGGAACAGCGCCTCCAGAATGAGGAGCCATATGAGACATGGGCGCACTAGTGGGGTAGGGCTGATTGTTGTATCCAGTGAATACATGGGCCGGTCTCACGTCGTCGTTATTTGAAGGGTTTTGTGCCGTAGGAGCCTGGTGGTGATGGTGTTCGTACGAGTTGCCATCGCCTATTCACAACCTGAGTTAGCTAATCTCCTTACTTGATTTTGAGCTGAGTGATTATGAAGATGACCAGACGGGTGGGAGATAAGGTGAGCAAAACACGACCAAACTCAAGGTGTCCAGCTTTAGGTACCAAAGCGAGACGACAAAGAGATGAAGTTTCTGGGTAATTCAACCAAAGCAAACAAATGCAACTTTTAAAGCCAAGAGGCAAATTGAACTCGTCTAAGAGTCGCGGAACCCCAGCAGCAAATAAAACAACTAACAGTAGCAGCAGCAACTGTGCAGGCGCGACTTTATGGTAATGTACAGAACTGTGTCAATCAACAAAACAGAGAGTTCCTCATAACCCCTCGAAAGCCACTGTGGCATGCTGTATAAATATAAGTGACGACTGCCTATGTCGTCTGACAAGAAGTAATAGGCAAAGAAAGGAGATGACAGATCCGGTCCCCAGATATTCGAATCGCAAACCGAAATAACAGAAACGACAAAGGCATGATTAATACACCGTTGACGCAAAAGGAGTAATTTTTGTAAGATAACAAGGAAAACAAGAGGCGTTTGGTATCAATTAATCAACACAACGTTTGGTCAAGTAGGGCAGTTTGTGCAGTGTGGTGAGCTGGGCAGTGAATAATCGGGGCTGATGGGAAAGCAAAGACCAAAGAGTCATGCAAATGCAGACGTGAGGGTTCTCGTTAATTCAATCACATCTGATGAAACATACCAACTTCATCCTGTCCACCTTGTCCTGTTCCGTCGGGGTGAGCTCCTGGTTGGTGGTGGTGCATTGGTTGACCCATGCTGCCGAGGGCAGGCTTGCCCATGGAGGCGGGACTAGGTCCCATGGGTCCTGGGCCGCCAGGCATCCCTGATGGTCCGCTAGGGCCTGGCATGTGTGCCGCGCCGGGATGCGGAGAAGCTTGAACTTGCTTCCGCTGGTTCATCTTTGCCATGCGACGAACTCGTCGACTGCGAAGGCGAGGGTCCTGGTTGCTGTTACGCCAGCTGTCTACTGCTCGCTGGATAAGGCCTCGCTTGCCTCGGAGGGGAATGTTCAGCTCGGCCAAAGCCCAGCCAACACGGTTACAGTCTGTCTCGTACATCAAGCGGTTGCCGCGATACTGATCCTTTGGGCAGCATGCTCGGGGGTAGACGCAGTTCTCTTGCTTGAATTCGGGAGATAGCTCATCAATGTTGACAGACTCGACGTCGCAGCGAATGGTATATTCCATCTTGACCCTGTCCCTTGAATACTCGAAAGCTATCCACTGGACACCATTACCATCTTGTCGAACTACCAGGGGGGTTGTAGCGGGGATAGGTCCTGGTGCTGCGCTGGGGTTAACACCGGGTGTGGTGTTTCCAGGACTCTGCAGTTGTCCCCCATTTTGAGGGTGGTGGGCTTGTTGCATAGGGGAAGACTGTGGCTTCTGGAGCTGGAGAGGCACTTGAGGCTCAATCTTTGGTCGAGGGCTACCCGTCATCCCCGCATGCGCATGCTGCGCAGCATGCTGGGTCATCTGGTTTTGAGGTGCGGTTTGAGACATCATCATGGCCGGCTGAGAGGTCATTGACTGTTGAGGGTGGGGCGCGTGTTGCGCATACGGCGATGCGGTAGCTTGAGGAGGCATTGCCTGGTACTGATTCTGAGGTTGATAGTACATGGACTGTTGAAGATGCTGCGAGGGTGGTTGGCCGTAAATGCTCCTGTGCTGGTCATGTTGAGAGGGAGATGCGACTGAGGCTGGAGAGTTGGATTGAGGCGTATGGTAGGACATTGGGGGGTAAGGGGGTCTCGGCATTTGTGCTGCGGCCATCATGTCTGAGGTGTCTGGATCGCGTAATGTTAGTTCTGAAATCGCGAGAAGCTTCTTGTCACCCAGGTGCTTGAGCGAGCAAAAGAGACTTACCTGCGGATGTATATCCGCTTGTGGCACCGGGTGTGCTGTAAGGACTCGGGTGGTTGTAATAGTTGAGGTTGTCCTGATTGCTAGGCGCTTGTGCGCTGGCTTGGTAACCTTGAGGAAGCGAGTGCGTCGACGAGTACGCGCTTTGGTGTTGCTGCTGCGGCGGAGGATGAGGCTGCGCGTGATGTTGCTGGTGAACGACACTCGGGGGTCGCGAGTGTTGTAGATGTTGGGAAGGCGGATGACCCTGTTGCTGGTGCTGTGAGTGATGCTGCATAGAGAGAAGACCCATTAGTCAGACATGGACGTGACGTTTAAAAGATGAAGCTGTCAGGCACGGCCAAAGAAAGGAAAATAGTCTAAAATCAAGGACGCGTTGGTGTTTTATTTTCCCCTTGCCAGTACCCAGGTCTGGGGAGCTGGTTTAAGTGGATGTCCCCTGGTGAAGACTGGGATTGCACGGGTGAGGCGGGCTAGGCTCGGAGTGGTAATGATGATAAAGCAACCCGGTTCTCGCGGACTACAGCGAAAAACACGGGGGGAGGGAGCAAGGGGGGTGGCTATACCGCTTGGCCAGATATGGTTGGCAAGAGAGGAGAGTAATAGTCACTCCAGAACGTCTCCGTTTCGAAGGTTGGAACCTCGTGTGCTAGGAATAACGACGAAAGAGCAGCAGGCCTTTGCAGCGCCAGAAGACAAGATCGATCGAGGGAAGGGTGTGCTGGAGGGGGGGCGACGGGGGGGAACGAAGGGGCAGGGGAGCGGGTATTTGAACCAAGATTGCAGTATGGGGATGAGAACAAGGTATGATTTGAAGTGGATAACAGAAAATGGACAATTGGGCCATGGGTAATGAGCTGGTAGACGGGATGGCAGACCAGGTAGGTGCTCGAACCAGCGGATGGGAACCAGGAGTACGAGGCTTGTCTGGCAGTTGAGCGGGCGCGACCAGGGTTCAACTAGAGCGAAATGCTGTAGAGTGAGGGAGGGGGTTTGTGGGAAATGGGCATGGATATTGGGAGAGTGGTGCAAGTGCGCAAGTCCGTGACGATATCCATGTCGCAGAAGTTCAAGGAGCATAAATCATCCTGAGATGAAGACAAGAGCGGTGAAATTGACATAGTCGAGATATCCCAGAGATGAGCGTTCGCAAGCTAAAATTGCAGAAAATGCCTAACATGAGGAACTCTCTCCTGCAAACTCGCAAGCCCAACAGCAAGCAAAACCTGCCAGCAGGATTCAGGACCAATGGGTGGGGTGTGAATAGTATGAACAGAGACGAGACTGAATGAAAGGCCGACGGACCAAGTGGGGTGGCGTGGGTGCGGAAGCTCAAGGCCAGGCTTCAAGAACCAGAAAAGAACACTGCACCCATGCAT